GCTTAATTAATTATTTATTAAGAAAAGAGAAAAAAAAAATCGGAGCAGACACTGGGTCGAAAGACGTCATCTAATTGTTACTAAGTATAGAGCCCAATCGTGTTCTCTCTTTTCTCTCCCAAATTCTCAGATCTAATCCAATCCACGATTCCTCTTGAATTCTCGAGCTTTCGTTGAATGTCTCGCTCCCAGAACGAGGAGTTTCAGCAATGGTGGAACAAGCAACGAGATAGGAACAACGATGTTCTACACGCCGGTGACGATGAAGCTTTCCTCACCGTCGAAATCCGTACTCCCGCCGTTGACCCTGATAAAGATCGGATCCGGACTCGTACCGCTCGTCAGCTCTCTCGCCTCTACCTCCTCAAGTTCCGCCAACTCGCATCTTCCTTCGCCTACATCGCTACCTCCTTCGTTTACCTTGTTCGCACCGCCAATCGCCGCATTGCCAACGATAATCCACCATCGGTTTCGTCATCCGCTAGATTGTACCGTATAATCAAGGGATTTCTCTTCGTTGTCGTGCTTCTTCTCTGTTTCGAGCTCGCCGCTTATTTCAAGGGATGGCATTTCACGCCTCCTTCCGTCGCATCCGCTGAGGTTGCGGTTGAGGTGGTTTACGCTTGGTGGCTTGAGATCAGGGCGTCTTACCTCGCGCCGCCGCTTCAGAGCTTGACCAATGTATGCATAGTGCTCTTCTTGATTCAATCGGTCGACCGTCTGGTGCTTGTGCTTGGATGCTTCTGGATCAAGCTCCGACGCATCAAGCCTGTGGCGTCCACGGAGTATCCGGTTAAACCGGTTGGAGAAGGGGTAAGATTGGAGGATTATCCAATGGTGCTTGTGCAGATTCCAATGTGCAATGAGAAGGAGGTAAGCACATGTATGTAGGTCCCTATTGCTAAAATGAGTTGAATTGTGAATCAAGCATCGGTAGGTTAGATTTGTTGCTATGGTTACTCGGAATCTAAGATTTGATCTGCCTTCTGATCCATTTTTTTTAGTTCTTGTAATTCATGTTTTGTTACCTTATCTAGTTGATTTTGGTCGGTGGCACTTGCAGGTTTACCAACAATCTATTGGAGCTGTGTGTATGCTCGACTGGCCAAAGGAGCGGATGCTAATACAGGTTCTTGATGACTCCAGTGAGTTAGACGTTCAGGTGCTTATAAAGACTGAAGTACAGAAATGGCAACAAAGAGGTGTCCGGATATTGTATAGACACCGTCTCATACGTACTGGTTACAAGGCTGGAAATCTTAAAGCTGCAATGAACTGCGAATACGTCAAAGACTACGAATTTGTCGCCATATTTGATGCAGATTTCCAGCCACCAGCAGATTTTTTGAAGAAAACTGTGCCTCATTTCAAGGTGATCAATCGCTTCTTTTTTTAATCGCATGTTCGTTGGAGATGTTGTGTAACTGGTTGGCTATTAGTAGGTCATTCCAAAACTATAGAGTGGTTATATCCTGCTCTTAGCAACTCAGTAGTCTGACACATATGGCATAGCGTGTCACAGAGTGGTGACTATTCTGGTGTTATCATTCATATGTGTCTTCACTGCAGGGTTAAGGATGAAATGGAGAGAATTTGCTTAATCTTCCTTGACAAAACTCAAGCTATCAATTTGTAACAGCCTCGGGGCAATTAATGACACGAGTCAGAATTTCCCTCTTTGCTTGCCCAAATAATTTTTGCTCACATAATAAATTCGTTATTATTAATCTTTCTCATAGTCGTAAGTATGAACTTGGAAAGCTTCTTCTTTGGGAGGACATAAGTTTTGACTTTGTCCTTGGAGACACAAATTTTTTAATTTTTGGTTGAAGGTTTACACCGGGAACAGTGGTACAGTATGCCTGTCATACACTAGCCTTTCTCACATGATAGTTTCTGTGTTTCTTCCAGGGGAATGATGATTTAGCTTTGGTACAAACACGGTGGGCTTTTGTGAACAAAGACGAAAACTTGCTTACAAGACTACAGAACATAAACTTGTCTTTCCACTTTGAAGTCGAACAGCAAGTTAATGGTGTCTTTATTAACTTCTTTGGCTTTAACGGAACTGCGGGTGTTTGGAGAATCAAAGCCCTCGAGGACTGTGGAGGATGGTTGGAACGAACAACTGTTGAAGACATGGATATCGCTGTTCGTGCGCATCTTTGTGGATGGAAGTTCATCTATCTGAATGATGTAAAGGTACTGTGTTAACTAAGTTAGTTTCTCAGAAGTTTCCTTTCATTATTACCAAAACATAAAAAGTTATCTTTCATTCACCAGAATATATAAAACCGTACTCTTTGATCTCATCCATATGTTACCCCCTTACACAGTGTCTCTGTGAACTTCCGGAGTCCTATGAGGCATACAAAAAACAGCAATACCGTTGGCATTCGGGTCCAATGCAGTTGTTCCGTTTGTGCTTCATGGACATTCTTCGCTCAAAGGTGAAGATGAGAATTATATTGAGATTTTGTTCCTCTTGCACTCCCTGCAGATTTTGCTATGTTCATGAAATTGCAATAAAAATGGCTTGGTCTGATATTTGTTTTGCGTATTTTCCCTACTGCAGGTGAGTGTTGCCAAGAAAGCAAATATGATATTTCTCTTCTTCTTGCTACGGAAGCTTATCCTGCCATTCTACTCATTCACTCTCTTCTGCGTCATTCTTCCATTAACAATGTTCTTCCCAGAAGCTAACTTGCCATCTTGGGTTGTTTGCTACATCCCCGGGATCATGTCCATCTTAAACATCATCCCTGCCCCAAGATCCTTCCCTTTCATAGTCCCATATCTCCTGTTCGAGAACACCATGTCGGTTACCAAATTTGGAGCCATGATCTCTGGTTTGTTCAAGTTTGGAAGTTCTTACGAGTGGGTAGTCACCAAAAAGCTAGGGAGATCCTCTGAGGCTGATCTGGTTCTATACGCAGAGACAGATTCTCTAGCCGAGTCCGGAAGCATCCAAAGATCATCCTCTGATTCAGGTCTATCCGAGCTTAGCAAGATAGGAGCAGCAAAGAAAGCTGGCAAAACGAGAAGAAACCGTTTGTACAGAACAGAAATCGCGCTAGCGTTTATCCTCTTGGCAGCCTCGGTGAGAAGCTTGTTGTCTGCACAAGGGATCCACTTCTACTTCCTCTTGTTCCAAGGAATCACCTTCGTTATTGTCGGTCTAGATTTGATCGGGGAACAGGTCAGTTAGTTTTTATAATCCTTATTTTCTCATTTAAAACTACATTGATCCATACCACCTGAAGCACAAACAAGAGCCAGAGACCAAAGTCAAGAAGGAACAAACCAACTCAGTTATGGATACTCGCAGGTCTTTTCGTTACAGATAGATACAT